TAAGTCTTTAGTTCTTTTCAGATTCAGACACAGACAAGAACCGAAGGATAAATCCCTAGGGAAATACTTAATTCTTCATGGACTATCTCCTCAATCTTTCCAAATTAGTGTTTGTCAAAACACTTTTTGTCAAAAAACTTTAAGATATGTTGCATTCATCTTGGCATCACCTATTAACACGCATTCCCAACACTGTGTTATAAATTACATTATTCATCTTAATGTAGTCTTGTGAGGTAGTTTAGGATTTTTTTTTGTTTTTATATATACACTTTGTTCATACAGAGGAATAAATTGTGTTTCAAATACAAAGCGACATCCTGAACACAGCCAAGTTCCTGGGATAATCCATGGTTTATCACTCCCTACTTCAATACTTTGTCCACTGAACTATGAGGTCAGAAATCTAAGCTTGATTTGTTTTTAAGTGCATAATCCATTAACTGTTTCCATATGCCATAACTGTTCAGTTGAGAAATTTATAAATGTTTATTAGCCCTATCTGGCAAATAGGATGCACCTGTTATAAAATGTGATTACTTCAGAAAGCTAACAATTGTGGAATCACATTTTTATAATAAATCAGTCTAAGTGAATTAGACTATTCACGTATTTTCAGAAAGCCCTTTAATCCCTATTAAGTTAATAGTTTGTGAATAATGAAAGAAATTAATATTAATTTTAGTTGATAAATCCAATACCAATAACCTGTTAGTATACTTTAATCCATTTTCCAACAGCCTGTAAAAATTAGCCAACAGATGCTTCCAATCTGGTAAAAAATATGCAGGTCATTAGCATTATTTTGATACCAAATGTTCAATATATGAATATTGTGATTACATTTCAAAGAGATATATATGCAATTTTCTTTTATAATCTTGTTAAATTTTAACAGGAGCCCAAGTGAGTAAAACATGACAGCCCTTTCTATATCAAAATCAACATTTGTCGTTCCATTCCTCATTCTTATGCTTCAACTTGAGGGAGAACTTGACTGAGTTTCACGGAGACTGAGTTTCACGGACGCAGGAATGGGCACATGTCTGCCTTTCTCTCTAACAGTGTCCCAGGTGCGAATCACAAGGCCTAGCATACACTGTATACCAAATAAATATTTGCTGACTTGAACAGCAGTAGCCAAATATAGGAAAGAGAAAAGGTGGGAGCAATGAATGAGGAAGAAAGCGAGAAAGAAAAATATGACCAGGAAAATGCCTATGTGTTATTTTCAGAAGAATTTAAAATATGGAAAGCTAAGATAGAACTCGAAAATTCAGGATTGAGAAAGGCAAGGAAACCAAAGTGATACCCGATTGCAAAATAAGGTACAGAAGAGAAAGTGATACAAACTGAATCAGGGAAACATGTTGATTTCACAAGAAAAGGCTGAGACAGTTTCCTTATATTCCTCAAGATAGGGCACAGGCACTTCCCTATTAAAGCAATGTTAAAAACATCACAGGGAGGTTAGTTTAAAAGACAACATTATTAAAATCTGACGGGGGCAAGGCGGGGAGGGGCAGCGGGGGAGATATTATAAACAACAACATGAATCAGCCAGGAAAGCTCATACCTAGAATATCTTGCTATGTCTACCAGAGCACAGGCCAGGGTGGTATTCTGAGGAGATAGCATTGTTGTGCAGAAGAAAAATCTCAGTAGAGATGTGGTCCTGATTGGACAAGGTAACGTGAAGATGGCCCAGCTCAGGGAGTGGTAAACCACAGGTGCTCTATGGGTACTATTAGGCCACAATTAGGCCCTCTTCCCTTTCCAACTTTCAGGGTATAAGACCACTAAAACCCAGTCATCTTAACCTGAAAGTTTGTAAAACCCAAAGCAGTGTCCTCCATAAGAAAAAAATAATAAAAATGAGTAACAACAACAACAACAAAGTAGAGAGCATGTGATTAGAACAGAGAATAAATGGTTGAATTTAGTTTCCTTTTTTCTTTCTACCAGTTTCAAACGTTTAGGGAGCACAACTGACTGACATTTTAAATTCCTGGGATGGAACTTCCACCTTTGTAATCCAAGAAATAGCTTTGGGTTTTTTGTTTAACAAATTTATACCCCCTTCGCCCATTTCCCAGACCCACGCCTCTGGCAACCACCAAGCTGATCTATAAGCTTAGTTTGCTTTTACTGTTTGTTGCTTTGAGGTTCTACATATAAAAGAAATCATACAGTATTTTTCTTTCTCTGGCTGACTTATTTTCAGTTAGCATAATGCCCTCCAGGTCCATCCATGTTGTCACAAAATGCCCTGGTTCTTCGACAAAAGAATTACTACAATGAGAAACAGATACACTAGTTCTCTAAAAACCCCATAGAGTCTCCAATGATGGGAATCCTGGGTCCTTCCGTGTTCAACTGTGATGCAAACCAATGATGAAAATCAACCAGGAGGCAATGCCTCTCCCTTACCCCTGCCAGCTAGGGAGCAGAGAGCAACTGTAGGGCCATCTTGGACTGAATAAGTGACTAGGTTTAATTTTGATTTCTGCAGAAATCACAAAATTGATTCAAAGTAACCTCTGGAGTCACGGGAGATGGGCAAAAAGTTAGGATTTGGACCTAAAGCCTCAGGGGCCAGGCCGTGAATAAAGAGACAAGGAGAAACATGTCCACTCCACCAGCCCACAGTCTTGTCTAAGCTTTCCAGGTACTCTCCTCTGGCCTTCCTTTCTGATCTTTACTACATAATAGCTATAGGAAGTCCTACTTTTCTGAAAGCAGCAATTTTGTTTTCCAATAAAATACTTAAGCACTAGTAATGCTAAAAAGCACTCTTAATTCTCCTTGAATAATGTTCTCTAGGAATTATTCTTTAAAATCCAGACCAAAAAGTTGTCACCTTCTCAGCTTGCCACTGTGAAATGTTGGCATCACCCAGGGGAACAACCTTGGGCTTCCCCACCTTTCCTGGTCACCATGGAAGTATCCTCCACTGTCACTGAAGAAAGAAGGTAGCATCTGAGCTGAGACAATAGAAGTCATGGGTCTCTGCCAGCCTCTAAGTCAAATGAGAGACTCTGGGCCGAGGGGACAGCATGTCCAAAGGCAGAGAGGGATGGAAGTACAGAACACTCACAAAAAGATCATCCTTCCCTCACTTTACCCTTTATAACTAATATTAGATTCAGCAAATACATTTTTTTCTTCAACCTTGAATCTCAAGGCTAAAGTTAGATGACTTAAGAATTTTTTAAAGGTCCAATTATTTCATTTAGGGCTAGCACTACAGCTAAATTAAAGACATGCTAACAAGTTTCCCTTTTGAGCCTCATTAATTAAGAAAGTAATCAGAGTAAAGAGAAAAAAAAAGAGACAGTAGCTGGATGGCAGTATTACTTAAATAGCTTTAAGGTACCACCATTTGTACCTACTAGGAAAGCAAAGGGAAAACTAATCAATTCCAGATTACGAAATCTGAAATTCTGAAGTGTTTTACATGTAAATACACATTTTAACTGCCATATATTTTCCTTGATTGCCTGAAGAGCACACTAATCTTACTCAGAGAAAATGTTCTTTCTCCATAATCAAAAGGTAAAATTAAGATCTGCTTACTTCACAAGTTTTCCTAGGATAAGCTTGCTGAGAAAATTCCCACTGTTTTCAAAGATCAAACTACATCAGTTTTACTATTTTGATCAAGAACAGTGCCCAAAAATATCTGAAGGCTCTGGGTTTATCCCAAATTCTGGAAAACCACCTTAATTTACAAATACCTTTTAGAGTTTCTAACTTACATTATTTTTTAGAAAAAGATTCTAATTTACAATTATATTTTATAAGCATTTCAAAGGAATGCAAATGATTTTTTTTTTAGTATCTGCCAATATCCTTTCATTGCCGTGATTGTCAAGTTAAATCAGATACATAGCACAGTGCCTAACACATAGTAGCTTTTAAGATTTTATTTAAGAGAGAGAGAGAGAGAGCGCACAAATGGGGTGGGGGAGTGACAGAGAGAGGGAGAAGCAAGCTTCCCACTGAGCAGGGAGCTCAATGACATGGGGCTCGATCTCAGGATCCCAAGATTATGACCTGAGCCAAAGGCAGATGCTTAACTGACTGAGCCACCCAGGTGCCCCCATAATAGGTATTTTAAGAAGTTAATTCTTCCCTCTCTACAGCAAGCCTTCCCATCTCCAGCTGGAGTACAATCTCTCTTCTCCAGCAATCTGTGCTCAATGAGCCCAGGGTCATAAGTGGCACAATTTGTGGTGAAAAAGTTTCCTTTTTGAAAATTAAAAGGTAATCACTGATATAAGTACCTTGTAATATAGGCCTAAAATGTAAGCATTACATAACTTAAAAATTAACTTAATAGTTTAAGTGGATATCAACTCTCAAACATATGTGGTGGAAACCCAATTTTTAGGCAAGAATAATGTTTGAGTTATTTAAAAACAAAACAAAAATATCACACCAAACAAGTAAAAGCTTTCACAAAAAATTTTGGAAATGAATGCTATTACTTTTAATGAAAAGATCATATAATCTATTCATATATTTCTATTTTAAGCTAGCCTTCAAGGTATTCTATAAATTTGGTATTTCTATCTCATGTGACTCATGCTAATTATTGCTACACTCTAATATTAAAGGGTGGTAAAATTATAACTAGAAAAAAGGCTCACATTTTGTTTGTTTTTCTAGGTCCCATTGACTGAAAGGAATTCTCATGCCAAAATCCTCTGTGAAAACATCCTCCTTTTCAAAAGTCCAATTTAGAACACCTTCAAAAGATACTATACTGAAATTTGACAAAGTTCTGTATTAACCATTTGCATTTTAAAGACTGTTCATGTGATAATCCAAATAACAAAATCTGTATTTTAAACATTTCCTTTCATTAGATAATTTAACCATTAGTAAAGTAAAAATATGTCTAGGACTCTTAAAATAATGCTCTCTAGAAGTTAATGTATAAGAATCGGCAGTGTTAACGTACTAAAATTAACAAATAAGCACTATGTTCAACATACCTTTTTGTTGGCAACAAAATGTATTCTCAAGTTTACAAAGCAAATCCACATTTTCATACTTATTTTCATTTGCTTTTATCCAGAAACAGTTTTCAGTCATTTCATGAGGTCTGATCTGCAATCAGAGAGATGGATTCATAAATAGTTGGGTGTTTCACCTCTCCCAGTGCAATCACTATGCTCAGACCCAGGGTCCCATCGCTGCCAGCAGATGTTTATGAAGCAATCCCTGTAATATTTTCCCCCAAAGTGTGTTCAACAGAATCCAAGTTCCCCAGGAAGCTAAGATTTTATTAAGGGGGGAGTGGGGAGTTCCACTACCACATAGTTGAGGGTTTGAAGCAGAGTGAAATAAAATTTGTGGCTTCTTAATTATACCTATCAGAGTCTTTAATAATGCTCGTGTGCACTGCAACAATTCAAGTGCAGGATACATTACACAGCCCCTCCCAAGGTTGTCTGACCATGAAACCATCTTTCTACAGAATTCAGAATTTCTATGTCCTGACTAAATATCAACTTCCGACAACTAGTATTGGTTTTTCCAATGGCTACCCACATAGAAAAGTTCCAAAGATCACTAACATCGTCCTTTTGAGAAACACTTCATAAAGGGTTCAATGATGATAATGTTGAATTATCAATTTGATGATGAATCAAATCCCATTTAACAATTATTAACTCTCACCAAATTTCTAAACCAGAAAGCCTTAGTCGAGAGAAAAGGGCTTTGTCTCAACACTTTAATTCACATAATGCCTATTTAATGTCACTGTGTAAATATAAAATTAAATTTTAATGTAGGTGATAGTATGTTTTCTTCCATTTAGTTCTGTTTTACCTTTAACCAATTCAATCTCCTCATGCTGGTTTCAGGTTTAAATTCTTTCTTTGGTTTTAACCCAAATGGTAGGGTTGGTGGAGGAGGAGAGTTTCGCCCGCTGAGAAATCCCAGGGGAGGTGGTGGGGGCACAGGACCACCAAAGGGCATTGGCATTCCTGGAAGTGGAGGAGGGGGTGGGGGAGGGGGTGGAGGTGGCCCGCCTCGGCAGGAGGGCAGCGGCGGGGGAGGAGCCAGTGCTGGGGGGCCAGTTCCATTTTCTTTGGACAGCGGCAAAGCGTTATTCGTACCAGCTGGCAAGGCACCAAACTAGAGAAGAGGACAAAAGAAACATGACTAAAAACACCTACAACACATGCAGAAGTACACTTTGCTCAAAAATTTATTATTTTAAATCAAAGATAATTCACTATCAGCAATTTCACATGGGTTAACCAAAAAAAACAAAATTCCAACCAAGTTGGGGTTTTTTCCCCCCAGTTAAAGAATTTCACTTTTGTTTTCATAAAAGTGTAATTGCCAGAAATATTATTTCCTATTTTGGTAGTTATGGCCATGCAGGTGGAGATATCCAGGAAGGATATGGGTATATGGGTTTAGAAGATTTGAAAATCAGCAGTTTCTAGGTGATAGTTCAAGTCATGAGAGTAGCTAAGTTCACACAGTATGGACAGAGCATCTAGCATAAAGAAAAGTCTATGTACAGAATTCTATGGAATACTAGCATTTAAATGAGAAGTTAAACAATAAGATCAAGACAGACTTAAATAGTATTGTCACATCATGTGACATGTGCCAATGACCTTGAGAGGAGGAAAAAACAAAAAGAAAAACCTGAAATTCGTAAGTAGGACCTGCAGGGGCACATCATGATCCTTGTGAACTAACTGGCCTTCAAGTGGCTTTCATATATAATTCCATGTAGATGCCAACCTCACAGCGATTTCAGGGCCTTGGCACATGCTATTCCTTCTGCCTGGATCCATGAGTCTCCGCATATGGATCACTTCCTGCTGGTCCTTTCAGTCTTAGCACCTCCCTTCCTCAGGAAAGCCTCATCTGACCACTCCTTTTACACTGATAGCACTGCTTCTCTTTGATTGTACTTATCAAAGTGTTCAATACTTAAGGAATCAATCATTAGCATTTCTCTCTTTGAGAGATTATAAGCTCCACAAGGGAAGTGACTAAGTCTGTAGAATTTACTATTCTTTTTCCAGCACCTAAGGTTGCGACTGGCAAATGACAGCTACTGAAGAAATACGTGTAGGATGAATGGATGAAAGATGAGAGAAAAAGCAGACAAGTACAGGTTCATGAATCACAAGTGAAGCAGGGGCATGCTGATATTCAACAGTGTCCAAAGTCACAGAGAAGCAATGCAAAATCAGGAGTGAAAAAGAGCCAAGGATGTCCACTCGTCACTTTTGTCCTTTTGTTTCTATGGCATGGTAAGAATAAATGCATTTTAATTATCATAAAGAAGACGAGAGTTGATAAATTTCTTGTAGTATGATCATTTTCCTGTAATTACTTCAATTCAGACACACACACACACACACACACACACACACCCCTTGCAAATGGTGGCATTTAGTAAATGTTAATAAATCATTTGAAAACTTTCATTGCACAATTATGGAAAAGAGATCATGTATAAAAGCCTGAAATTGACATCTGAGATCAGCACAAAGAAAAAGTGTTATAAAAGAAACTGAAACCACAAATCAAACATATCTTAACAAAAAATTAACTATAAAGTAGAATCAATTCAGCATTATGCTGCATTGCTGTTAGAATGGATAGTACTGCCCTCTGAATGTTAAAGAAGTATGTATGTTATATTCACACTCAATATGCATTTTATAATTAACTACTAATGTCTTAAAGATATGGTTAGATTTCCGCTCTATACTAGCTCATTTGATGGAGGATGGCTGACTTAAATATCATTCATGAGGCCAGATTAACCTGTGATTAACTTGCTCACCATTATAGCCCCAGCACTCGACAACATTTAGTTGTTAAGTGAATAAAGGAATAAAATCACAGATAACAGAATATATTTTATTCATACCCTTCATAATCATTATGGCTTTGATCAAAGAGAAGGATCTTAAGACAAATGAATAGATTTCATGAGAAACACACCAATCCATTAAAAAAAAATTTCCTGTTGTTCTTCAAAAATTAACAGGGTGGCCGATACTGTCTCTAATTCCAGGCTTGCTTCTGATGTACAAAACTAGTCATCCTTTTCCACATTCTTAAATAACATAGGAGATTCCTGGATTTAATCTCAGTTTTAAAACTAATTCAGTCCCATATTTATTTAAAACACATGCAGCAATATATCCAAAGCTGGTGATTATCTTCTTTTTTTAATTGACAGGAATTCTTTAGATTGGATTTACAATTAATCCTTCAAGTATAACAAATTAAAAATAAAGTTTTTTAAATTTATATTAGCCCAGACCAAGAGAAACTGGACATAAATATCTCAGCCACTGTCTATAACTCAATCTGAAATAATAAAACACAATCAAATATTTCTTTTAGTGTGAGAGACAAGGAGCCACACGGGAAAGATGAAAAGTTTCAATAAATTGTACTTCCTTCTTGCACAGAAAAGAGCTTCATTTTGCCTAAAATTGAACACTTAACAGATAGCTATCTCTTCAGGTATCTTCTTAGAGGCTCTGTAACAAAACTATCCACTAAGTATTTAAAAGAAAACAAAATAGCCAATAATATGGGAAATAGTACACCGATCTAGGAATTGGTACATCTGAGACTATTTCGACATAACCATAAATTAGGATGAAAGAAAATGAGCAAAAACTATACTTATTGCTCATCATCCTATATGTAAATCTGCATGAAGAAATTTAGCTATGAATATTCTACCTCTTTACTGTCATCCACTTACAACATGCAGATGATGTATTTCTTGCTATCTAAATGTTTTATATGTAGAGGGTGTATGTGAGCTATCTGCTTCATAATCCAGATTTGCTCTCTTTTTTGTCATGTTTTAAATCTGTTTACTTTTGGAAATTGAAAAATTATCAGAAAATGTTCTCATTAAGCTAGAGGTTATCTTTCACTGCAAGGTACCCATAGACTGAAGGTTTTGAAAAATAAATAGCTCGAGCAATAATTTCCTGTAGTGGGATAAAGATCAGTGATGAATGACAAATCTAAGAGTAAAAGACTTTCTTACCCTTTATGATTACATACAAAACATGTGACATTAAAAACAAAACCCAAATGAAACATAAGCAGATTAATTAGTAAAAGTTAAGACATTCTTAAAAATGCCAAGTACAAAAAAAAGTGGCGAAGTCATTTTTAAAAAAAATTTACAGAATAGAAATACATATAAACAATACTATTAAAACATACTAGTGAAATTAAAGCTTAAACATTTTGAGCTATGAAGATATGACATGACCTTTGCTTCCCTGGTAAGCTTTCAATACCCAAATTCAATCCAGAAAGATGGTATTTTACCTGTGACTTAAAAGTTTGTAACTCTGCTTGAAGTTCATTAATCTTTGCTTCCTTTTTCTGCAGTTGGGCCTGAGTTTCTTGGTGGTCGGTAAACTCTTTTTCAAACTGCAAAGGAAAAACAAACAAACAAACCAGGAGACAGAAAGATGGCATTGAAAAGCACTATTCTTCATAGAGAAATAGGACTCTAATGATCTGTCAGTAGAACACAAACCTTTTATGAAAGGAATGGCAGATCTTGCTAAGTCACCGAAAGCCTTTTTCTAGGTCCCCCCAGGTCCCACCAAAAATCATTCAGTTTGCAAGGGAGCAGACAAAGCCAGAGATGGTGTGACCTTCTCCTCTCGGCAGAGCAAAGTGGCTCAGAGGGATCTTCAACACTGACATTTTTCTTAAAAGTCCCTAAATATCATTGCAACTCTGTGTACAATAATAGCAAAGCATTGCACTGAGTTCCATGACCCCTACCTGCAAAAACTTCTACTTAAAATTTATGGGAAGTTTATCAATAGGAATTAAAAGAATTCCATTTTAGTATTTTTTATTATTAAATGACTCCATTTTGTAAATGCATCTTTTTCTTACATCATTATGCAAGTTAAGGGCCCTGATGTAGGCTCTAACCTTCAACAATAATTTAAGATAATAAAATCTGTTATTTATCATGAATCTTTGGGAGATTAAACTTTGGGAGATTAATGGTAAATTAATCTTTCAAAGACCCTGGTGCAATACCTTGTGGGAGGAAGGCAAACAGCAAAATTTGGTGAATCCAATGAGTTTTCTAATTTATATAGCCCCTCATCACAAATTCCCATCTTGCATTCAAATAGCTTCGCCCTGTCATCATCGTGACTGAAAACCTCTCCTAACAGAGGTGAATTTCAATAGCACAGTGTCTCACAATCAAAGAACATTTATCTCTTTTAAAAAGAAAAAAAAAAAAAAATCAAAAAAATACACAACTACTTCCCAAATGTAGCCTTTAGACTTTAAAATACAGTCAAACCTCAATTAAGGAAAAAACAGTAATATAAAACTCATTTACAGAAGGTACTTATTTACAAATTTTATTTTGTCCCTACCTCAAAGAGGTGGTTAACTAGTTCCTCATTATACAGCCAGTAAGTGAAGATGTGAGATTAAAAGCCAGATTTTGTCTTCCAACCCTGAGTTTAGATGAAAACACACCACCTTCCTACAACTTACATTTAGGTACTGTTTTATAGTTTGTTTTTTAAGATAGGTTTTATTTTTTAGAACCATTTTAAGTTTACAGCAAAATTAGGCAAAAGTTCCCAAAGATTTTTCATATACCCACCCCGCCCCACAGGTCTTGCGTCCCCCACGATTTAGTCTAAGCAAATCTGCCCCCATATTCATCTCTGTGCACCAGTGTGTTCCATTACAACACACCGTTCTGGTTCTCCTACTAACTCCTTGACTGTTCCTACCAATTCTTCTATAGTTCCTGTTCTTCAGTCCCACCTTCTAACATTTCCATGTTGTAAGACTCTTTCTTCACCCCTCTGTTGGTCTCACTTCTCATGTCTGATAGGATGGTATCTTCCACACCCACATGCTTCAATCCCATTCATACACTGATGGTGTCCAAATCCCTATCACCAGCTCAGCTTCTCATGTGAATTCCACACAGCTAATTAGTCCATAAATGTATTTCAAATGCTTAATGAACATTTCTCAAGGAAAAAAAAACCAACAAAACCAGTATTTTTAAAACCAGTATTATCTTCCCCCCTACAAACTTTTTTGAATACTGCTATTCTTTCTAAAGAACTGGCTCAAAAAACAGGACTCCTCTTGCTCTTAAACTTTCAGTGGCTACATTTAAAGGCTACACTCATTAACCTAATATCTAGGAACCTCCTAGGACTCACCCCAGACTACCTAATTCCCATATAGTAAGTAATAGAATGTGTCTGATGTGTTCCTCAAAGTGGTAGGTGCTAGACATAGAGTTTAACAGAACACAGTCATAGCTTTTAGTAAGTTTAGTGTCTGGTGGCAAAGTAAAAGCAAACTAATAATCCAAAATCTATGAAAATTACCACAATAGAAAAACAGATTGCAGAGAGTGATTCCGGGAGGAAGGATGCTTGACCCCAGGTTTAAAGAACTTGAGTAGTTAGCTGGGAAGGGGAGCGGACACTTCAAAGACAGGGTCTAGCACAGTGCATAAATGACAAGCAACCATGTGTCAGTGCCATAAAAGGAGGGAGGAAAAGAAATTGCAAGGGATGAAGTCATTTTTTTTAATAAAGATTTTTATTTATTTGAAAGAGAGAATGAGAGAGAGAGAGCGTGAGAGGAGGGAGGGTGAGATGGAGAAGCAAATTTCTGGCCGAGCAGGGAGCCCAATGCAGGACTCGATCCTGGGACTCCAGGATCATGACCTGAGCCAAAGGTAGTCGCTTAACCAACTAAGCCACCCAGGCGCCCCAGGGACGAAGTCACTGATGTAGACAGGAATGAAATTGTTCAAAGGAATTTTACAATAAGCCAAAAAGGTTTCCCTTTTGCCTGAAAACCAAGGAGAGTTATTAAGAGTACTTACAAGAAATTAACATGATCAAATCTGCACTTTGGAAAACCCAACCTGCAGCAGGGTGGAAGGTGGAATGAAAGAGAAACACCAGAGGCATGAAAACGAGTTTAGAGGCTACTGCAGTTATCCAAGCAAGAACTGAAGGCCTGCCTGAACAAAGGAAGAAGACAGAGGAATGGGGAAGAAAAAAAAAACACAAGGTTTTTTTTTTTAAACAATCTAAAAAATTAGTGTACAACTGAACATAGGAAATGAATGAGCGAAGCATATCTAAGATGACTATGGTGTTCTATTGCTTTGCAAACTGGAAACTAAATATTAGAATTTTAGGGGGGAAAATAGGGATATAAAATACATGGGGAAAGGCTTTTTTTTTTTTAAGTATTATTTTAGAAAGCGAGAAAGCGGGGGGTGGGGGGGGGAGAGAGGGAATCTCAAGCCAACTCCCCGCTGAGAATAGAGCCCAAGAACGCAGGGTTAGATCTCCCAACCCACGAGATCATGACCTGAACGGAAATCAGGGAATCGGATGCTTAAGTGACAAAGCCACCCAGGTACTCTTGAAAGGGCATTTTTAGGGAAAAGAAAAATGAATTTGGTTTCAGAAGTATTAATCTTGAAATGCCTATAAGAAATTCACAATAAATTTCCATATACCTCCTTGGCTATCTCAGCCTGTTGCCTCACGTTAGCTATCAATCACTTCCTTGGGTAAGCCTCCCTTGACCACCCAAGACTAGATGAGAAATCCTTTCTATAGGCTTACACACAGCATTGGGTTTAACTACCATAACAGTTATTACACTGTCATATAAAAATATCAAAAGGCACTATCACACACCTCAGTAACATTCACCAACTGGAAACTTATTAATAGTGAGCTGAATATTTTATTCATCACCTTTCCAAAGCCTTACATTTATAACTAAACTCAATAAATATTTCTGGAATGAACAGATGGAGCCAATTCCTGTCAAATCTCCCTTTATATGTTGTGAATAAATATGTCAATATCATATATTAAAGTTCTTCAATCTCCCAGCATGAAAAATCTTTGAGAGGTCATGTTCTCTATTCTCCCTTTTATGACTGCTCAATGTTTACTGCTGCTTAGCAAGAAATAAAAAATTCTTATGAGAGTAAAAATGAAGTCTTTTTCACAATACAATATGTACACTATCCTATCTCATATGGCTTAGAATAAGATTTGGAAGGAAAAAGGATTATTTATTGGAACAAAGATAAAACTACCAAAACTACCAGAGCCATAATTAGTATACTCTAAAAGAATTTATTAAATTAACTTGGCCTTACTTAAAGTATCTCTATTACTTAACAAAGAGAGGAATTTCTACATCCTACCCTATTAAAAGGATCAGACAAAATATAAACTTTGCTTTAGCATTTTTATAATATCTATAGTCAAATCACAGTAGCCTTGGGGATAAAATGAATCTCCATTAAAGACATACTTTATAAAAACAGACACGATAGCCTTCTTCTCCAAAAAGAGTTACTGGAGCAATATTATGCTTACAAAATTACACGCAAAAATGTCAAGAAACACAGTTAAGGCTGAGGCTCTGCTTAATTTCACTCCCTAGGGTAAATGTATTAGTGCATCTATACAAGAACGTTGATAATTCAATATTCTCTATGTACTTTCTGACATTTCTGGTCTTCATTTTTCAAATTTATGCACCAAAATAAAGAATGTGTCTAGCAACTATGATAGCTTCCTGCCTAAAGCAAAGTATTTACATGTGTCCTTATAAAGCTATCAGAAAGAAGTTCTTGCTGATATATACAAAATGGTATGGCAATAGAAATCTTTTATGGAGCAAACAATATTTTCTGAATATACCTAAGACATAACTTCTGACTAAAAGGAGACAAGTAACCTTGAACAAGGTCCTTCTTCTACTTAAACTTTACAATTTTAAAACAATATGTTGAGAAGGGTATCACGTTTAGCAACATTCATATATACCTTATACCTAAAAATGATTATAAGAGCAAATTTACACTATCTGGGATGCATCCAAACCAAGTACTTGAAAGTTTGCTACTACTTTCTCATGAAGACTTAAAACAGTAGAAAAGTAGAGAGCTTGGAATACAAGGTCAGGGTGAGGGGTCACCCTACAACATGATCACCTATCAACTGTAACACATATGACACTTAACTTAAATGATCCATTAATTTGTCTACTACATTACTGCAGGGCAATGACAGTATCATATTCATAGCTGTAATCCTAGTCCGCAGCCAGAGGCCCAGGAGTTAATCATCTCTCACTAAGTGGTGAACCTCAGGACTTCTTATACAGGACATTTACAAAGTTTTTCATAAATTCCCAGTAACTTATGGAAGACTGTCTACCATTTGCAAGTTATATTATCTTAAAAGGTTATAAAAATGTACAATTCTCTCAAGATTCATTTGGGTCGCGGCGGAGTGCCTGGGTGGCTCAGTTGGTTAAGCGACTGCCTTCGGCTCAGGTCATGATCCTGGAGTCCCGGGATCGAGTTCCACATCGGGCTCCTGGCTCGGTGGGAAGCCTGCTTCTCCCTTTCCCACTCCCCCTGCTTGTGTTCCCTCTCTCACTGTCTCTCTCTCTGTCAAATAGATAAATAAAATCTTAAAAAAAAAAAAAAATTCATCTGGGTCGGGATAGATCAAAAATGTAGCCTCTCAGGCATGGTACCAAACACATAGTAAATGTTCATTTAGTGTATGTTCATTCAGGTGCTGGTAGTAGTAATTATCATTTATTCCTCCGATGTGAGAAACCAGCCACAAGAATTTAAAACAGAGTGACTACTTAAAATGTGAAGAAATGTAAATTTTTCAAAACAGAGAAAAAGTCTAACAGATACATACTGAGCAGAGATGAAACCACAGAACCCCACCTTAAAGAAAAGCAGAGAATGACTGGATGGTCAGCAATACTACTGGGAGGAAACAAACAGAACTGGTAATATTGGATACTTTTCACCTATAAAAATGACAGTTTTATATGTTCAATTAAATCTAAGGAAGCAACTTTACTCAAAACAAAAATTAACCTTCCTTTTAAAACTTTTAGACATAATTTTGATCTTAAGGGCCTAAGTTACAGGAGTTCTTGAGGAATACTCCAATCCTAAAACTTTGAGTCTATATATTTTGTTCATTTATTCATTCACGCATTTTTTTTTTTTTTTAAGGTTCTGAGGGCCAGGAATTGTTCTAGGTGTAGGGACAGTGAATAAACAAAATCCTTCAAACAAATAAACAAACAAAACAAAAATCCTTCCTAAAGTTTACTCTAGAGGAAGAAAGAGATAATACATCCACGGACACACAGGTAAATACATACACCATGTGGCATGTCAGATAATGAATACAACAGAAGAAAACAGGGTTGGGCGCCTGGGTGGCTCAGTTGGTTAAGCGACTGCCTTCGGCTCAGGTCATGATCCTGGAATACTGGGATCGAGTCCCACATCAGGCTCCCTGCTCAGCAGGGAGTCTGCTTCTCCCTCTGACCCTCCTCCCTCTCATGCTATCTGTCTCTCATTCTCTCTCGCAAATAAATAAAATCTTAAAAAAAATTTAAAAAAAAAAAGAAGAAAACAGGGTCAGGGTTGGGAGTAGAGAGTTAAAATTTTTAAATATAGTAGTCTAGAAATCCTCCTCTGGGATGGCATTTGTGCTGCCTAAAGGAGGTAAGAGAGAGAGTGGGAACACCAAGCAAAGTCCCTGACGCAGAAGCATGCCTGAGGAGGCTCCTCATGGAGTCTTGCAAAGTTGGTCAAAATTACTTACTTTCTTGTAAAGTTCCGATGCTTTCTCTTCAAACTCTTCCAGTTTAGCTTGATCTATGCAAGTATCTGAAATTGCGATAATTTTTTTTTTATTCCAGTACTTCTTAAAATCATTAGGGACTTTAAAAGTTCAGAAGGAAAATCATGGAAAAGAATTAGAAATAATGCCAGTAATAAAAAATGCAAAACAGAAACCTAACACTGGGATGGAGAAGGATTTTCGAAGTGTGACACCAAGCCCATAAAATAGAAAGGTAAAGACAAACACAACTTTAATTTCAAACTATTAGACAAAAGGAGGAGAAAGTTCAAATATAAGAAAGAATAGTCTAAGGTTTCTATCATCAATCCATAAATATTTTGAAGATGATGATATCCAGGGCGCCTGGGTGGCTCAGATGGTTAAGCGTCTGCCTTCGGCTCAGGTCATGATCCCGGAGTCCTGGGATCGAGTCCCGCATCAGGCTCCCCGCTCTGCGGGAAGTCTGCTTCTCCCTCTGCCTCTCTCTCTCTCTCTCTCTCTCATGAATAAATAAATAAAATCTTTTAAAAAATTAAAAAAAAAAGAAGATGATATCCAACACGAGCTAGGAAAACGGGCAACAGTAATGAACAGAAAATTAGGAACAACAAAATTAACAACTGCTAACCCATATGAACAGGTATTTCACTTTACCTAACACAAAAATACAAATTTTATTTAATGAGACACAGCAAGGATTAAATGATCCATAATGCCAAGCGTTGTAGATGGCACAGAGAAACTGACTTGTCTACACTAGTGTAATGGAAGCATAATGAACTTTGCTAATGATAACTAGTTAATATGAGGTAGTATGTACTAAAATTTAAAATATGCATTTTCTTTCACCCAACAATTCTATTGTTAGGACTGTGCCTTTAAGGATGTTCTATTGTTAGCCAACATCTGGAAATAAATGTCCATCAATAATAGATTAAATAAGCTACAATATATATGCACACAATGGGATACAATGCAGAAGAAGTGATTCATATAGATTCCCCGTGATATAGTTGATCCCTTTTTTTAAATAAAAGTAATACATAAACACAGTTTTAAAAACACATTACAGAAGGCTTATGATGAAAAGTAACAACAAATCACTATATTAAAAACTCAATTCCACTTCCAAACTGCTACCTCTTACAGTTCTTCTTTTATCTTCTGGCAGTTACCTTCCTATCTCTAAATAAAATGTATATACCATAATTTCTTGATTTAATACATTATAGATAGCTTCCTATTAAAGAAGATGAAAATGGTGTTCCTTGTCTAATCCTATTTAATAATTTTGCTTTCTAAATTGGCTGGCTCTGGAGCACTAAATATTTAAAACTCTGACCTCTGTTACGAAAACAACATCTCCTGATTTCCACTCTAATATATGAAGTTATCTGTACCCCATACTTTCCAACGTTTCTCTACCCTAATATCCGAACCCCAGGTCTTCACGCTCACCTATTCACGTGAACACACTGACATTCTCTTCTCTAAGTCCTTTGTACTGTGTCTGTAAGTCTTGTGTAAACATTTAAAATCAACACATACAAGGTACTTGTTATAACTATGTAAATATGGTTCACTCATAGAGCCAAGCAGTAGTCATGGCGTCTATTTCCTTCTCAAGGGTTCAATATCTAAACCTCTCATCTACTCAAGAAAAAGCATTCCTAATGGCCAGGTGGAAGCAACTGGATTTTCAGATACTATTCAAAATTGTTCCACATTTTAGCTTGCTTTGTATTTACAGGATGTTTTTCCTCATTTCTCTATCCCTCCCACTACCAGGAACTTCTAATTGCTTCTCTTCTATGGAGGGAAATAAGCACTTTCTTTATCAGTGCCACTAATATTCCATACCTCTTACTGGATTCAAATATCCTATGAAGAAAAAACCACCTCACTCAAATAATGGATATTCTTTTCTCATGTTATGCCAAAATTTGACTTACACATACTCCTTACACCTTAGTTGCTATGTGGGATCACGTATCAATGACTATTTTGTTCTATTACTTTAAAATCCATGAATTCTTTACCCATGCAGAATTTGTATCAGGCACTGGAATGTGGAAAAGAGTGGTTTGCAGAGTCATGCAGAGTCTCCAAATGCTGACACATCTCATCATATAGGATCAAAATAATCACCAATGATCTCATCAGAAACAAATTTGAGTACTGGGAAGCTCTCAAGCTAACAGTAGCAGATGCAAGTTTTCCAAAACTCAAATTTTTACTTGAAAGCTTGAATTTGATCATTGGTAACAAATTCTACCAGTTGTTTTCCCTGACCTGGTTCATTTCATTTTTAAGAAACGTGTGTGCCAAAACAGTCATGCCTGAGTAGCCCCAGCTTTTCATGACAATCATTCCTTCAAAGCAAAAATCAGCCAATTCAGCTCACAATTTAAGCAAATACACAGCTATATGCTCATTGTACTTTGGGATGTGGAAGTGCTAAATGTGTAAAGACAGTTCGTTTTGTCTTAGGGGATATTAAAGTAATGCGTACTCGAGGATTCGATTTTTAATAAAATAGTGTTTTCCAGTTATCAAGGACACTCAACTAAAACAGCAGTTTTTATTGTTTTGTTTTACTCAGAGTGAGGAATACGATGGCTACTAACACGGTTTGGTGTCACTTACTGCCTTGATTCCTAACCAAGTTCCAGCAGTTTGACCCACTATTATTTTCATCACCAGCACAAGTATCAAAACAAAGGAAAAGGCAAATAAGGTCTTAGGATTCTTAGGATCCCCTGAAAAGGAGGGTATTGAGGGCCCTCAGGACTCTAGGATCACACCATTAGAAGCAATGCTGCAAACGTGACCGGCAGGGTAGGGGATAATAAAAGATTTCCATTTAAATATTAAATACTCACCAACAAAGTGACTTAAATCTAAATCTAGTCTTTTTCGATATGTGAAGTCTGGATCCATCCCATCTCTATGCAATACAATCTGAGATACACACTCATCAATTAATTTGAAGTATTGTTGCCTAAAACCAAGAAAAAGAATAAATGTACACCCAATTTATTAGTGTAACTTTACGTCAAAACAAAGTATTTTGGTAAGCTCGATTTCAAGTTCAGTAATTTACCTTTGTACAGTTTCAACAACTGACATGTCAGATTTAACACAGGAGAGTAAATACAATGGTCATCACTTTCCTTCTAATGATCTTAAGATATTAAATTTTTATCTCTTTTAGCAAATATAATGCTTTAATGATGATTAGCTTACAAAAGTCAGAACCTTGACTTAATTAGTAAACAATAAAAAAGATGAAGTGATATGTGCTTAAAAGCAATCCTCAAAAGAGATCAACCTACCACTATACCATACTGAAATATCTACCACTATTCATTTTATTAACACAAGCCAAAACCCATACCTTTTTTTCAAAAAAAAATTCTCTGAAAGGGTCTTAGAACTATACAGTATACTATTTTTAGAATGTTTGTGGAGTCCAATTAAAAACCGATACTGTAAATTATATACAATACCAAATGAATATTTCTTACTCAAAAGACAACTGAAAAAATTTAGTACATTTTCTGTCCAACAATTAAAGTTTAACTAAAATTCCCCAATAGAGATATTTTCACTACAGTCCACCTATGTTTGTTCTAAGCAAAAGAACATCCCTTAAAACTTAAGCCAACAAATTTAAAAGAAATACCCAGATTTAAAAAAAAAAGAAAAAAAAAGAAATACCCAGATTATATTAACAAAACCAAACTGAAGTGACAGAAAGGGTGGGTGCTATCTCAGTGAGGTCAGTCCTTTATCCCCAAGCCACCTCTAAGACTTATTTCTTCCTTCAATGACTTTTAGCACACATTTCCTCTCCCAATCTTTCTCATCGTGTATGTGATGGTGCCTCTAGTCACTTGAGCTCCTCCTCCCTAGAAACCGTGACCTACTTGTCCTTCATCCACTTAACTCACACCTAATAAATGACCCATTATACTGAATAAAATTCACAGCAACATTAGCAAAGATGACAAGTGGTCATTGACTCATAAACTAAAAATATTTTAAGACACTGTTCTTGGGTACATATCAAAGCAAGATAGTATTACCAATGCTTTCCTCAATGTTCTAAACTTTTTTCAAAAAATTAGTCTCCCATTCCCTAATGCTTTGCCATAATAACCAACCACATTTACAGTTAAGGTACATAAACTGCACACGTTCGTATCTATCACATTTGAAAACCGAGATGATGCATCCCATTCCTTTTTTACTCTTATTTAATATTATCCTAGTGTTGGGTTTGTTTTTTTTTTTTTTTAAGATTTATTAATTTGAGAGAGAGAGAGAGAGGGAGAGAGGGCAGGGGGAGGGGAAGAAGGAGAAGCAGATTCCCCACTGAACAGGGAGCCCGACTTGGGGCTCCATCCCAGACCCTGAGATCATGTCCTGAGCTGAAGTCAGATGCTCAAATGACTGAGCCACCTAGGCACCCCTACCCTAGTATGTTTTTAACACAAACAAGTTTAAATTAACAACATATGCTATTTTAAGGCCTTTTAAAAAAAAAATTTTCACTTCCACAGCTCCCAATGATAAGCTCATTTACAAAGTAGCTGAAATTTCATGCAAAACCTCTTTCAAGGCAACACTAGCAAAAAAATAATGTACTTCTGGATTCCAGAAATATAAATCTAGAAAATAATCTCCATGAGCAATGTTGGTGAGTTAGTAAATATGTCAGAAGAAAATGTGAATAACCTAATTAAGGGATGAATATAAATTGTCATTATTTCACTGATACATCATTTTTGCTGGAGGAATTTTAAAATCTTCACTTGCTCTTTAGTATTTTTACCAAATATCAAATTATCTCCTATGCACATTCAACTAGCATAAAATTTTGCACATGTAAGCCATTGAGTATTTGTTACAGAATTGAATTTGATTTTCTACTCCACCCTCCAATTTTCTTTCCGCATTTCATTTTTCTTGGGGGCAAGAGCTACCTCGTTTTGTTTTTTTAATATTTAATTTATTTGACAGACAGAGACAGAGCGAGAGAGGGAACACAAGCAGGGGGAGTGGGAGAGGGAGAAGCAGGCTTCCCGCTGAGCAGGGAGCCCAATGCGGGGCTTGATCCCAGGACCCTGGGACCATGACCTGAGCTGAAGGTGTACGCTTAACGACTGAGCCACCCAGGCACCCCAGGAGCTACCTTTCATGTACATTCTCCAATCAAGTTCCACTTCAGTAAAATTTCCTCTTGTTCCAAATGGGAAGGTGAGCAAACTTTCTAATTTCCCTATCCACTAATTCTTTTAAATGAGAATATCTTACGTTCTAAAATAATGCCATTTATAAAAACCTTTAAAAGATTATATCAGTATGTGTTTAGAACGTTCATTAAACAAAAAATGTTCAGATAATCAAAGATTTCTAAAAGGTAAAATCCAGGTCCACCTATGATAGTGAAAACCGAAAGAAATGAAGCTAAAACCAAAAGAACAAGATTCATAGAACTACACACCACTAAGTGAAAGTTTTACTGTATGTAAATAAAAAGCTGAATTTTTAAATGAATGTATGAAAACTTATGTAAATGACCCTAATCTGACTCAATCTTATAATAAAAATATGTTCTAAGAATAAATAACAATAATAAATATCCATGAGAATTTAGGAACATGGGGAAAAAAATGGATGGAACAGTCTTGATTACAGCAGTCATAGGAAGAATGATGCCTTCTCAGGGACCATATATGGAACAAAGACCAAGGTCCTTGGGCTTAAAGAGTCAAGGAAGAATGCAGCATGGTTACGTATCAAATTAAAAATGTGATACTTGAAAAATGACCAAAATAACTAACCTTCTATACCTCACTAATGTCACTCTGGTGATACTACGGTTTAATATTTTTCTGAGACTCTTAATTCCACTGAAGTGATAGGATTGCCTGAGCAGGTCCTAGGAGAGTTGAGCTTTTCAATCTGTTTTAAAGGTAGACAACTGCATATGCTCTTGGAGCACCAATTAGGGATTAGGGTAAAATTAAGGGATCAAAAGTAAGATATAACAACCCTGGCAGCACTGAGACACACTGAAAAACTTTGAAAGCAAACAATATTCTTGAATTCTTGAAAACTCAAGCAGCATCAAACAATCAGAGGTTGACAGAACCAACCACACAGGGATCAAGAAAAGGATGGGGTTACTTTAGAGCAAATGGAAGTTTCAATTTTATTTTTAAGAACATTTGGAAAACATATTAGTATAATTAGCAGCAAGGTACCTCTGATATTTAACAATATTAATCAATGTATTAATAGTTTTAATCAATGTATTAGTACTTTTATTAATAGTTTTGCCCATGTATTAGTATTTTATATTAGTATTTACAAAAGGAGATAAGATGAATGATCTATACTCATCCCAAAGAACCTAGTTTTACTTTTTTTTGACTCTTATTCTATTCACTTGTCAGTTATATCAAAAGCCTAAATTACACCCTCTGACATCACCCAGAGGACACAGCCTGAATGAGACATGTCTAGCAAATTCTTCTACATGAAATTAGAGTAAGAAAAGACATACTACCTGAAGTATTTGAAAATGAAATTTCAGCAAAGCTAAATTAAAGGCAACAAAAAATGGTTTTATATTCAAGGATCTCAGCTTCCCTCATAAAACAGTAACAAAGTGCAAAGAGGATATAGAGAACATTTATTGAGAATACACCATGTGCCAGATATCTGGCTAGGAGATTTACCCATGCTATTATATTCCATCTTCACAACTGAGCAACTTAGGGGCTAATATCTTTACAAAGCTACAGATAGACAACATACAGACGGGATAAACAATCTGTTAAACTTCAAGATGGCTAAGATATAATCAAACTTGAAATGTCATTTGCCTAGCTTTTCTGATACATTAGCAACATTAAATGCAACTATATTATCAAGGCACTTGCTAGCTACTTACAATGTATTATCAAGGCACTTGCTAGCTAAACACTAATAAAAGCAATGTTTAGTACCCTTCATGTAACTTATAAAAAGAAACATATCAGCATCATTCCTACTACCTAAACACTAACCAGAATGTATTATCCATCACATGATAAATTGGTAATTTGTTGCTAGTTCGCATTTTTATTCAGGTGAAAACTTGTTACCAACAATCTGCTGGAGCTTAAAACATAACAGTAATATCATTTTACCATCACCTGTCTAAATATATGCCCAGAAGAAACGCCACATTCCATGAGTCAATATTAAGACAGAAATAAAAATCTGAAAATTATTTGCTTGCCCAAATAAAACATCAGGTGATTTTCCCAATTAATAAAATTTTATTAGTGAGAGAAAACATTACAACATAGCTTCTTCTTACCTTATAAAATAATTCCTCTTACCTTATAAAATAATCATTTCGAATCAGCAAAAGATGCTGAAGAATAGAAATGAAATATCCCTCCGCTCTAGTTTCCTTAACTGAGTTCCACACCATGTTGTAAATATCATATGCTTCAGTGAATTGATTAAGGAATACACGATTTATTTATCGTCTACACCAAACAACTGCAATAACATGGCATGGAATCTACTCTGTAAGGCTTCAAAAGATTATTATGTGCCTTAGCCTAAAATAGGCATCATGTATATTTAACATCAAATAAAACACAGGTATCCAGGATTCAGAGTAGAGGAAAACATTTTGCAAATGACAACTTGACCTGACACTCCCTGGCTTCTCCTCCATGATCAACTCCAAACATGTGCCTCTCTCAAGCTAAGATGTTGCTGGCGGCAAGGGTAATGGGCAGCTGGTTGTGAATACCATATTAGGTTTTCAGAGTGCATTTATCAAGAGAGCTGGTGCCAGGCATTATCCACCATGGAGAAGCCCCAGTGGAGGACAGAAACCTGGTGGATTTCTGGAAAAGCACAGAGATCTGTAGACCCACAGAGTTAACAAAGGCCCATGTGAGTGTGCCCCCAAGGTGTAGGGCAGGAGCCAGCCAGCAAGCTAAGGATACCCTACTCCCAATGCTGGAAAGCACTAGGGGAGGGGAGGTGCCAAACATGAAAAGAAAAAAACAGTGTATACACACACACACACACACACACACACACAAGGCCCTAATAGAATCCATCTGTAGGTTGTAACGTTGATTTACATATGCATGTACTCAGAAACACACACAAGCTAATAAAAAAAAGTTTATATAAAAATCAGTGATTCATGTGTCTGATGAATCACAGACCTGTACCTCTGAAACAAATAATACATTATATGTTAAAAAAAAAAGAAAGAAAGAAAGAAAGAAAAGAAAAAGAAGATAGTAGGAAGGGAAAAATGAAGGGGAGGAAATCGGAGGGGGGAGACGAAACATGAGAGACTATGGACTCTGAGAAACAAACTGAGGGTTCTAGAGGGGAGGGGTGGGGGGATGGGTTAGCCTGGTGATGGATATTAAAGAGGGCATGTTCTGCATGGAGCACTGGGTGTTATACGCAAACAATGAATCATGGAACACTACATCAAAAACTAATGATGTAATTATGGTGATTAACATAATTAAATAAAATTTTTAAAAAATCAGTCTGATTCATAAAGGTTTGACTTTCTATTGTTTATATAGAAATGGCTTCAGAGGTTTGGTTGTTTGGGGTTTAGCAACAGTTTTTCCTATTTCACTAATTTCAGAACAAAAGGATATTCAAGTTCAGCTCTAATATCTTCAAGGCGATGGGAGAACTCAAGCAAATCTTCTTCCTTATGCTCATCAAACACTTTAAGCTGGATATCCAGGCCATCGTTCTTCATACATTTTAAGTTCTAGAGTTATTAAATAGAAATGACAATCAACGGTTTTCTTTTTAATAATGCAAAAAAGTTAATGAAAACATATAAACAGTAAACCAGCCATTTGACTGGATTTATAGCATTCAAACACTTAAAGTGTTAAATAATACTCATATCTTATCTGTATTTCACAAATTTTTATACTCAAGCCTTTTTTCCCCACAGATAAATTATTCTTGAAGGTAATTTATCTAAATTTCCCCCTATTCAAGTACTCCTCTAATTTAAATATTAATAAGGAGACTGCAGGGCACTTACTGGCAAGATCTCTTTCAATCCACAACGCATAAATTCATTTCTGATGTGGAGCCTGAAGTCCAAATCATCAGGAGATGTAACAAGGGCATTGATGAGCTGCATACACGCTACCTACAACAGATTGCACAGTGAGACTTAGGCTCAGATTCCAACATTAAGAAAGAGTCATAGAACTGAAATATCAAGGTTTTGTTCTAAGAATCAAGTATCTTCCTTCAGAGGAGAACCTATTAAAATAATAATCTGTATGTAAATTATTTTAGTCAATTACAAATTAAACAAGAAATACTTCAGTGGAGGTGTTTTGTTTTGTTTTGTTTTAATTTTTCATTTGTTTGGGAGTTCTTGTGGAATAAGAGACAGAAACATTACGCACTGGCACTACTCCATAAAAAATTCACTCTAGCCCAAAGTTAAGTTCTTGTCCAAAAATATCACTCAACGCACATACAACACAAAACTGAAGATCCTAGTTGAAAAATTATAGATCTCTATTGGATATATAATGCTTACCTAAAATAAAATGGTAACTTGCCATTCATCAAGAGAAACCTAAAGTCCCAAACACTTCAAGGTCAGCAAATGTCCTGAATCCGGTTAATGGGGTTGTTATAACCAAAAACTATCTTAGGAACACCGAACAATTAATTAGAATTACCCAAGCAATGGTTCTTACACTTTGGCAAGCATTCAAAAATAATATATGTCATGTTTATTCCAAAGGCATAAAGAAATTACAGAGCTAATTAAATCCTTTAGTATATACCTTAAATGATGAAAGTGTAAAAATCATGTATTTTCCAGGTATTTAACACTCCAAATTTCAAAGTGGATCTACTTTTTTTTTTTTTTTTTTACCCCCTGGCTGAAATTTATCTTTCATTATCTGAAATCCATATAATCAAAGCAAAAGAGATTGGAAGCAAAAGAGATGGTCTCTACAGAAGCAAAGTATTCTTTGTTGCTGATGATGATGTTATTTTTCTAAGTCTACATTCTATCAGAGTCTAACAAAAATAACTGGCTTACTAATCAATATGTTTAACCTCATGCTGTTCCCTAAATTGTCCTTTCCCCATCCCTTAAGGCAAGGTTTATATGAATTTAAAAATGCCTTTTTTTGGATTAAGACACCAACAGGGGTCTCAGGTCCTGCTGGTTGAAATATATCGTAATTACTGTATTTGCTGTCTAAATACTAAAATCTGACCAGCATGCCTCTACTGTCAAAACTTAAGACTATTTAAACTGGAGGAAGGAAATGTGTCAGAAGATAAATAGGGAAAAGGGAAACATTTAAAATAAAAAAAGAATAAACTTAAAACAGAGGCTACCTTACCAGTACACATTCATTCAGCTATAACTGGCTCATGTCACAAAGTTTAAAATGCTTTCTTTCCACCTCCCTGCCAGTCATTACCCAGTAGCCACAAATAGTTTTTCAGCAATAGTATGCGGTTTTAAAAGATCTCAAAGAACATTTAAATAATGTTTCTCTACATTCAGAGCAATTAAGATAGTGTTAGTGGCTAGGTTTCTGGAAAAGACATGAATTATAGACAACTCAAAGCAGCAAAAAAAGCAGTATAAAAATTAGCAGGAAATAGGACTTAAATGTAAAGTAAATATATGCAGAACAATAGCAGCATGAAATTGAAGAAAAAGAAGGGGAAGGATAATCCAAATTCTTTTCAGGAAACATCCTGAAAGGCAATTTCCTAAAAAAGGAAAAACAGAAAATTGACTTAAGCTGAAATAACGAATTTAATTATCTAAAATCCCTTCCCAATTCTAATGGTAATTGGCCATTATCATGACCTATAACCACTCTAACAGATGTCATGTAAACATAGATCTATGAACATATACAAGCATACAGCAAAATGTAGTGTTTCCTTGCAGAAAAATAATTCTATCAAGGTAAAGATCGAAGAGTTCCTTCTAGGTTATTAACATGTATACTGAGATACACAGACTCATTTGATCATACAATTTCACACGAATATAGCATACCAGCAGAAGCAGGTTCCAATATAGCATCTATGTCATTGAACTCAATTCCTACGGACAGTGGGAAAGGCTCAGGAACTATGAAGGTAAACAAGACATATTGCCTACCCTCATGAAGATAGATACAATGATAGACATACATTATGTAGAAGAGAACATATGTTCCACATATAACGGTAATATGGAGAAACTAAAGACAAGGACAGCTGGTTAACAGCAAGGCTCTTAAGGCAGCCTAAGTGAAGGACCGAGATGAGATGTTCTAAGCATCCAAAGAATTAACCGGTTAGAGGACATGGGACGTTCCATTGAATTACAAGGAATTCCAATATCCTGAGCAGTTCGCAAGGGTAAGAAGGGAGAGAGCAGTGCAAGGAGTCGTGAGAAATGAGGCTGGGCAAGAAGACAGACCAGGTAATGCACAGACTTATGTGCCAAGTCAGAAAATTCAGGTTCAACTGGAAACGGGGGAAACCACAAGGGATTCTATGTAAAGGAGAGGGAACAGTAGAGGTAACAGTATAAGTTAAGAAGCTATTGTAGAAGGAACTTTAGTAAGCAATGATGAAAGCTTGAACATTCAAAATGTAGGAGAAACTGACAGAATTTGACAGCTGGGTGGACATGGGGTTGACTCAGAAGAATTCACAAGACTGCCTCACCTTTGTTCTTCAACGAGATAGGAGGTGATACCATTAACAGAGCTATAAAATGCAAGGAGAGAAACAGGTTTTAGAGACCTGGATAAATCCCGCTTTTAAAATTTTGAGATTGAAATATACTTTAGGAGGGGCACCAGGGTGGTTCAGCTGGTTAAGCATCTGACTCTTGATTTTGGCTCAGGTCATGATCTTATGGGCATGAGATAGATCCCTGCAGCCAGCTCTTTGCTGAGTGTGGAGCCTGCTTAAGATTCTCTCTCTCCCTCTACCTCTGCCCCTCCCCAACACTTTCTCTAAAAATAAATAAATAAATGAATGTACATTAGGAATCATTCATTCTTAAAAAAGAAAAAACAAACACAAAACACTAGTTATTGGGTACCTTGCCTATGTCAGCTGGGGATATTAACAGAAGCTCAAGGAAATAATGGCATTGTAATATTCATCATAAACAATCACCATGCTGCTTGATGTTCCAAAAATATAGCCTATATAATCTCCATTAATTTGCATTTAACATATTGTTTCAAGAGCATCACAAAACGGGGGCGCCTGGGTGGCTCAGCCGGTTAAGCGGCTGCCTTCGGCTCAGGTCATGATCCCAGGGTCCTGGGATCGAGCCCCGCATAGGCTCCCTGCTCAGCGGGGAGCCCGCTTCTCCCTCTCCCTCTGCCTGTCTCTCTGCCTACTTGTTCTCTCTCAGATAAATAAAATCTTTAAAAAAAAAAAAAAAAAAAGAGTATCACAAAACGTACTTCTCTGTGGAATAGATGAGGGTAAGAAAACAAAGAGCTTCTGTCCTCCTAGAAGCATCCTAATTTAAAGCTTCTATCTTTGGACATCAAAATACAGAATTCACTCTCTGTGTACCTGTTCAACCATTTCATTCCCTCCAAGCCTATTTATTGGTGCCCACTAAGCATTCTCAGTGCTAGAGATACAGCTGTGGAAAAAGACAGAAATCACTCTCAGAGATGAAGAGTCAAGACTGACTCCAAGGTTTTTGGCCTGGGCAATTCGAAGGATGGGATTATCATTGATTAAGGTGGAAAATAAATCATTCATTTAAGATGGGAGAAAGAGGCTTGGGAAGACAGATCAGAGGAGTTGGGTTTCAGAGATGTTAAGTTAGAAATATCTATTAGTGACAGGCATTGAAGAAAAGTGGAGAAGGAAACTGGCTATAAGAGACCCAGGTTCAAGAAAAACATGACCACAGCAACTGCACATAAAACTCAGGGTCTTACATGGAACCACCCAGAAGTAGCCAGAGAAAAAAGACGTACAGGCACTGAGGGGGCATTTCGATTGCAGGTTTTACTTTAAAGGCTGGGGAAATAAAGTAAAAAGGCATCAGTGAGGTAGAAGAAAAAGGACACTTGGGTACCCAGGAATTATGGGAGGAAAGTGTCTCAACAGAGAGAGTGATCAACTGAGTCAGAGGCTCTAATAGGTCAATAAGATGACTAATAAATTACTACTGCATTGGGCCAGTTGGTGACTTGACAAGAACAGTCTCTATAAAGAGACAGAGTTGTTGTCGCAAGTAGGAAAACACCTGCCTTCTCATGTGTACCATATGCAACCAAGACGATTAAAATCGGCACTGAAATATTCTTCCTCCAAACGCAACTTTATACTTTAGAAATACTGCTTATTAACCTTTGGTCTCAGTAAGACACGTCTCTTTAGGTGTTAAATCATGTACTCAGTTCTAATGATTTGGAAAGCGGGTAGGGCAAGCTCATTTTGTTAATCTTGTCTCAATTATCAAGAAGGAGCCTTGCATGAGAAAAGTATATCTAGCATAACTTGTAGCTGGAGGGGTGTGTGCGTGTGCGTGTCCGTCCAGGGCTCAGGAGAGCTGAAGGCTTCCTGGAGACCAGCAGCAAACCGAAGGCGCACTGCAAGGACTGTGGCCCGCCAAGCCCACAGAGCAAGCCGAGGAAAATGAGCAGCCAGAAGTGTAATTACAAATCGTGGCAGCAATGCCAGTAATGCGGTAAACTAGAAGGCAGAGACACACAACAGGGGGCAAAGTAAATAAACTGTAAACAGAAATCTCAAAGATCATCAATATGAGGGATAGATCTGGTCAAAGGCAATCTCAGGAACGAGGCAAATGATCAAAGAAAAATCATTAGACCTAGAAAGAGGTTAATGAGCAAGACACGTGAAGGAACATGCCACCATCTACAACACTTCATCAGCAGAGAAGCTTTCTGCCCTTGAAAACAGTCAGGTTTCTTCATCTGTGAATACCCATCACCTAACTTTCCTCTAGTACACAATTTAACTTACTCCTATCACCATGCTCAATGCAAAGATGAGAGAAAAAATAAACAACTTTATGCAGTTGTAAACTTTGACCCAAAACCTCTGACTCGAATGAAAGTGAAGCACAAAATTCAAGGTACTCTAACAGGCGTGATGCCTGAG